TGCTTGAGCGAGAAAGGAATAAAAATGTCTGAAAGTAAAGTGGTAAAAGAATTCCAATGGGGTGCGCAGCAAGTTCGCATGGAGACGGGCGAGATTGCTCGTCAGGCCGGTGGCGCAGTCTTGGTCAATATCGATGAAACTATTGTGTTAGCTACAGTGGTTGGTGCAAAGCAAGCCAAGCCTGGTCAGGATTTTTTCCCACTGACTGTTGACTACATGGAAAAATCGTATGCCGCAGGCCGTATTCCTGGAGGCTTTTTCCGCCGTGAAGGGCGTCCCTCAGAAGGCGAAATATTAATTTCCCGCTTGATTGACCGTCCGTTGCGTCCGTTATTTCCTGAAGGGTTTTATAACGAAGTGCAGGTGGTTGTACAGGTGTTATCCGTGAATCCTGATGTGCCTACGGATATTCCATCTTTGCTCGCTGCTTCTGCGGCACTAGCCGTATCAGGCATTCCATTTAATGGACCCGTTGGTGCAGCACGCGTAGCGTATATAGATGATCAATATGTACTCAATCCCACTTATAGCCAACTCAAGGCTCAGGCTCAAAAATCGGGATTAGATTTAGTCGTAGCAGGTACAGAGACCGGTGTGTTGATGGTTGAAGCACAAGCACAACAACTCTCTGAAGAAGTGATGCTCGATGCGGTCGTTTTTGCCCATGAGCAAATGCAAACAGCCATTCAAGCAATTGATGAATTGGCGCAAGAAGCAGGTAAGCCAGAATGGGATTGGGCACCTGCAGCTCAAGATGCTGCACTTGCTGCGCATATCACGGCATTAGCTGAAAATGGCCTAAGAGCAGCGTATCAAATTCGAGAAAAACAAGCGCGTACAGATAGCATTCGCGATGTATATACCTCCGTCAATGAAAAATTGGCTCAGGAAGCAGCCGCTTCAGCGGATGCAGGTGCAGGTGGTGTATTACCTTCACAACAAGTAGTCGGTTCGATCCTATACGATCTAGAATCTAAAATCGTGCGTGATCAGATTTTATCCGGTGAGCCGCGTATCGATGGACGTAGTACACGTGACGTGCGCCCCATCTCTGTTCGTACCGGTGTATTGCCCCGTACGCACGGCTCTGCGCTTTTCACACGAGGCGAAACGCAAGCCCTCGCAGTGGCTACCTTAGGTACCAAGAGCGACGAGCAGATTATCGATGCGATTGAAGGCGAGTATCGTGACCGCTTTATGCTGCACTACAACATGCCTCCATTTGCAACCGGTGAAGTAGGGCGTACAGGCACACCTAAGCGACGAGAAATCGGTCACGGCCGACTTGCTAAACGCGCTTTAGCCGCTTGCTTACCCAGTGAGCAAGAATTTGGCTACACCATTCGTGTGGTTTCTGAAATTACAGAATCAAACGGTTCCTCCTCGATGGCCTCTGTATGCGGTGGTTGCTTGGCATTATTAGACGCCGGCGTACCGATGAAAGAGCATGTCGCTGGAATCGCGATGGGTCTGATTCTCGATCTGAAAGACCAACGTTTTGCTGTACTGACTGACATCCTAGGCGATGAAGATCACTTAGGCGATATGGATTTCAAAGTTGCGGGTACCGAGCATGGCATTACTGCTTTGCAAATGGATATCAAAATCCAAGGTGTGCCTAAAGAAATCATGCGATGTGCATTAGAACAAGCTAGAGAAGGGCGCTTGCATATCTTAAAAATTATGCAAAGCTCTGTTTCAGGTGCGCGCGATGAACTGTCTGCTTTCGCTCCCAGAATGGTTACGATGAAAATCAATCCTGAAAAAATTCGGGATGTGATCGGCAAGGGCGGCTCAGTCATCCGTGGATTAACAGAAGAAACCGGTACGAATATTGACATTGGTGATGATGGTACTTTGACCATTTCAGGCACCAGCCCAGACGCTATTGCTGATGCCCAACGCCGCATCAAAGAAATCGTTGCTGATGTTGAAGTCGGACAGGTATATAAAGGTACGATTATCAAATTGCTTGAGTTTGGCGCAATTGTGAATGTTATGCCTGGCCGAGATGGTTTGCTGCACAAGTCAGAAATTACGCGTGAGCAAGCGCCTGATATTCAAGAAGGCAAAGTCATTGATGTCAAAGTGATTCAAACAGATGGCAAGGGCCGTTTTAGGCTCTCCGCCAAAGCAGTGCAAGCTGATGCACCTCCTGCCTCTAGCCATCCAGAAATGGAAAATGTAGAGCCTGAGGAAGATTTTGCACCTGCTACCCATTAGAGCGCGTCTATAAACGTGTTCTAGGGCGTGCCCTAAAAATGATTGTGGTTGTTTCTCTTACCCTAGGTACCGATAAGGTATCTAGGGTTGCTGCCTTCTTATGCAGGGTAATTACCTATGCGTGCTATTCAAATTACCGAATACGGAGCGCCTTCGGTTCTTGCTATAGGCGAGCTTCCTAAGCCAACGCCGAAGTATGGAGAAGTACTGATTCGAGTACGGGCAGCAGGGATCAATCGCCCAGACATAGTGCAACGTAAAGGATATTACCCAGCCCCTCCAGGTGCTTCAGACATTCTAGGGTTAGAAGTATCTGGCGAGATTGTGGAGGGAGAACTGTCGCATCTTGATAACGTATACGACCTGCAAAAAGAACAGAGCGTGTGCGCACTCCTGCAAGGAGGAGGGTATGCCGAGTATGTAGTAGCGCCTATTGCCCAATGCTTACCTATTCCAAAAGGCTTAAGCGATGTGGAGGCTGCTTCGTTACCGGAGACTTTTTTTACCGTTTGGAGCAATCTGTTTGACTATGCACGATTAGGTCAAGACGAATCAGGTCAGCCAGAAACGCTGCTGGTTCAGGGAGGATCAAGTGGTATTGGTGTAACTGCCATCCAAATTGCCCATGCCTTAGGCCATCCTGTTTTTGCAACTGCTAAAACGAAGCAAAAATGCGAAGCGTGTGAAGCCTTAGGAGCCAAGCGGGCTGTGTGTTACCCACAGGAAGATTTTGTTGACGTGGTTCGAGAATGCACAGATGGCGCTGGGGTAGACGTTATCTTGGATATGGTCGCAGGCACGTATGTGTCACGCGAGCTAGATTTACTACGAGAAGGTGGGCGTTTAGTATTAATTGGACTGCAAGGCGGAGCGCGTACAGAAATTGCGCTCGCTCAATTATTGACTAAGCGCTTAACGGTAATGGGTTCTACATTGCGCCCACGTTCTATTGCTTTTAAAGCACGGATTGCTGCGCAGCTCAAGCAGCATATCTGGCCGCTTCTTGAAGCCGGCACAATACGCCCAGTTATCCATCAAACATTTGCCATGGAGCAAGCTGCACAGGCCCATACTTTGATGGAAGAAAGTGGCCATATAGGGAAACTGGTGTTGACCTGGTGAGTAGCGGGTAAAACGCTATTCAAGGTCTTAAAAAAACACGAATCAGCCTCAACAACAATGAGATTTGTAGGAATGGAATGGACTATACAATGCATCCAACACAACCCTCTGACCTTGGCTCGCACGCACGCCAAAAATTAATAGTTGCAAACTGGAAAATGCATGGCACGCTGAGTGCCAATGCAGCCCTGCTTGCAGCCATTCGAAATGGACTAACTCCAGAGTTAGCACAACAACCGGCAGAGCGTGTAAAGAGTAAGCGCCCTGTACAAATAGCAGTATGCGTGCCATCTCCCTATCTTGCGCAGGTGCAAGCGGCTTTACAGGGCAGTGTGTTGGCCTGGGGCGCTCAAGATGTCTCTAATCATGCACGTGGCGCATATACCGGTGAAGTAGCTGCTTCCATGCTGAGTGAATTTGGAGCGCAGTATGTGTTAGTGGGGCATTCAGAGCGGCGGACTTATCATCATGAAACCGATGAAACCATTGCGCAAAAAACACTGCGTGCATTAGAAGCGGGAATCACTCCCATTGTTTGTGTAGGAGAATCTAGGCAAGCGCGAGATGCTGGAGATACTGAACAAGTAGTGGGTGAGCAGCTTCAAGCTGTTTTGAATGTACTATCGGCAGCACAAACCCAAAACATCGTAGTGGCTTACGAGCCAGTATGGGCAATTGGTGCTGCGCGCAGTGCTAGCCCCGATGAGGCGCAAGCAGTACACGCTTATCTGCGTGCACAGCTTGCCAAAAAGCTAGAATTACCAGCAGAAAACAGTACTCACGCAAGTGGTACAAAAATCCCTGCACAAGCAGGGCATAGCAATACTGCATCCGCATCTTCTATTCCTTTGCTGTACGGTGGCAGCATGAAAGCTGCAAACGCTGCTGCACTGCTTGCACAGCCCGATATCGATGGAGGTCTCATCGGAGGCGCCTCGCTAGATGCATCTGAATTTCTAGCGATTTACGCAGCTGCACAATAGCTATACGAATGCATGCAGAGCCCCTATGCTCTAAATGACAATTTTTATTTTTCCTGCTCCTTGCAAGCCAGCCTTATAAGAGCTGGGACCCCTATTTAAAAACATGAGGTAAAACAATGTGGCTCAAAACAGCAATGATGGTTGGACAAATGCTCAGCGCGCTAGGCGTAATTGGGCTGGTTCTTATTCAACAAGGTAAGGGTGCAGACATGGGCACGGGCCTGGGTAGCGGCTCTTCAGGTAGCTTATTTGGCCCCAGTGGCTCAGCCAACTTTTTGTCGCGTACCACGGCAGTATTAGCCATGCTTTTCTTCGCATGTACTTTAACGCTCACTTTCCTAGGCTCTAGAAAAGCACCTATTTCAGCAGGTGTTTTAGGCGCATCCCAGCCTGCCACCCCCTCATCACCAGCTTCTTCAACTGCGCTTCCAAAACCAGAGCAAGCCCAAACGAATGAACAAGATATTCCCAAGTAAAAATTAGGGAACAAATAGAGCAAAGCGGAAAAGTTGTACCTTATAGGAGCTGTGCCTCTGTAAAAAGAGGAGGGGAAATTCCATGATTTCGAAAGATTTCCCCTCAAAATGCATCTTGTACCAAGTTTATTTCATAAATTACGCGAAACTCTGTTGACAGCATGCGCTGACGCCAATAAAATCGCCGTTCTTCAATTCCTCGATAGCTCAGTCGGTAGAGCGACGGACTGTTAATCCGCAGGTCCCAGGTTCGAGCCCTGGTCGAGGAGCCACCTACAATAAAGGGTTTCACAAAGTTTAGAAGCCCAATGTAATCGGCAATGTAGCCTGCCTATTTACGCATTATCTAAATCGCATTCAGGCTTGGACCATTTCCAAGCCTTTTTGATTGGAGCACATACCGCTTCACGATAAGATAAACGTACATAGCGCATATTGCCTATATTAATCATGCCGGCTTAGCTCATCAGGTAGAGCAGTTGATTTGTAATCATCAGGTAGCGGGTTCGAGTCCTGCAGCCGGCACCAGAAATATAAAAAAAGCCCTTGAAAATCAAGGGCTTTTTTTATATTTGGCGTAAATTTGGCGTAATGGCTAAAATTAGCTGTGCCGTTCTTTACGTATAAGTAGTTTTTTCCTTGCACAGGAGCCGGCAAGGAAAGGCTGAGGCAAAAGTAGTTTTTGGCTAGAAGCAGCGCAAACCCTTTATTTATAAGGGAAAGAAAAAATAAGAAAGTAATAGTTACCTTTCAATAAAGGTATACCCATCTTCTCAAGGGCGCAAAAGTGCTTTTCTCTTTGTGCATCAATCTGCATCACTTTTTGAACTTCTCTATACGCTAAACCCTTTTTAATATATGCCTTTTAGCGATATCTTCATGCATCAAAATTGCGTATTTTGAATAATGTATTCACATGTGTTATTCGCCAGAGCGGCTATCTAGTCAATCATAAAACTATCCAAGGCCTGATGGGGCAACTCAAGCTTAAATCGTTGGTACGCATCAAAAAATACCGTTCTTACAAAGGATCATTAACTGCAATCATGATCGCATTAAGCTCAAGTCAGGAGGAGTGAGTCCGGTTCAATATCGAATTCAAATCGCTTAGCGTTGATTTCGACTACCTCAATTTTCGGCGTACTTCACAAGAAAAGGTATGCACCACTGCTCCGTCACTCCTTTCTAATTAAATTTGCAGCATATAAAATTCGGAGCCATTGAACTTTTATTTCAGAAATTTATTACCGCGCGTGGTCATGACAAACCCAATAAACTCCAGCATTTCTCCTTTATTCTTTCAGACTCAACACGCTCAACGCATTGATCAGCCTTCCGAAAGTGCTGAGTTAAGTGAGTCTAGCTTAAAACACCCTCTGCCCCAAAGGCGCATCTCAACTTAGAAAAGCTTCCTCCGGAGCTGTTATCGATAGTAATGCGTTATTTAGATACAGAGACGCTCAATAAGGTGCGGCTAGTCAGCTCTATGCTGAATCAATTTGCCATCGCCGTTCCCGTGTCTGTAAAAATAATTAAAAACAGGGATGAGCTTCAAGAGGCGCTAAGCGCTTTGAATAATGGCAAGAGAAAGATTTCTTCACTAATACTTAGTGGATCAGATTTTAGAGATGAAGATTTACAAAGTCTTCCTGCATCGCAGCCGATACACAGTTTGACTTTACAACATTGCGACAATATTACTGATGCAGGCCTTGAACATATAAGCAGATTGACTCAGTTACAGCACCTAACTTTAAAGTTTTGGGACAAAATTACTGATGCAAGCTTTAAACATATAAGTAGACTGACAAAGCTGAGGCACCTCAACCTAACATTTTGCAGCGACATGAGCTATTCAGGCCTTGAACATCTAAGTCGATTGACGCAGTTGCAGCAGCTTGACCTACAAAATAACAACATTACCGATGCAGACCTTGAGCATGTAAGCAAATTGACGCAGCTGCAGAAGCTTGACCTATCGTGGTGCCGCAACATTACTGATGCAGGTCTTGGACATGTCAGCAGATTGACTCAGTTGCCGCAGCTTGATCTATATGACTGCCCTAACATTACTGATGCAGGGCTTGAGTATGTAAGCAGATTGACTCAGCTACGGCTGCTTAATTTATCAGCCACCAGTATCACCGATGCCGGTTTAGTGCATTTAAGCAAATTGGCTCAGTTAGAGCATCTCGACCTACGATACTGCCGCGACATTACTCATGCAGGTCTTGCACAGTTAAACGGACTGACATCGCTGCGCGACCTACTAAGCGGAAGCGACTTTACCACTGATTATTTTGTGCGACAAATTGATTGGTGACACTTTACTGCCAGCTGTTTGTAGAACAGTGTGTGAGTCTCTTGACTCACACACTGCTACCTTTTTAGGTAAATATGGTTAGCACATCCATTTCTCAATGACAGAATTATTTTACGTCTAACTTTTCGGGGTCATATCATGCATTCGCGCACCCATTTCGTAGTGCGAACAGCACCCTAAAAATGAATGGATGGCTCCAGTTCACTCTATGAAACGGGTGGCAAAACAAAAGATCTTCTCTCCCAGCGTGTCGTTCAGATAACGCAACCGCGCTTGGAGAGGTTGGATCTCCAATCTGCTTCTGATGCTTCTTGATCTATTAAAATAATTTATTATAAATTTTCTTCTATTTTTGCATTGGATAAGTTTTTCTCGGCATGAGGTCTGCTTGCTAATTCAGGTATAGGGAGGTCATACCTTGTGCTGGGAAAAGCAATATCAATATTTCCTTTTATTACGCGTAAACGATATTTCTCTGGTATGAGAAAGCCCACAGTTTTAAAGGGTAAGCAATGTATACTAAACTCATGGTTTAATATTCTTGCTTCTACCCTCCAATCTACGGCGATACCTGTAGGTCCAGAAATATAACCAACCTTTATTTTTAGTTTATTAAGCTCTTTTTTAAAATCTATGAGGAAATATTCCTTTCCAACATTGCAAGCGTGTAGTTTTATAATACCCACTTCAGTGAGTCCGGCATTATATAAGGCACGCGCTAAATCTTCTGCTGTTAACTCTGAGAAATTGTCTATATTGCCATGTCCATGTAAATCTAAGCGGCTAGTCAAATTTATTTTCGATAGAGGTTTGTCTGCATAATTAATAGGGATGCCAAATTCTTTTTTGCTTTTATATTTGGCTGGTTTTTCATTTATAATATATATATCATCTTCGTTTATAAAAATTTCTTTATTAAAATAAAAACGATTATCAGTTTCAATTTTTCGTGCCCTTGCATGTACTCTAGCTCCATGCTCGATAGCAAAATCTGATTCAGTCGAGATGCTATATCTCTCTTTGCCAAGCCGTTTTTGAATAATCTGCTGCGATTCTGCTCTAGGTTTTTGATTATTTCTAGTAATTTTGCTCGCTAACGCGGCTAGCTTTCCTGCAAATTGGAATGGTGATGGCGTATGAGGGGTAGTGCTTTTCTCAGGGGCTTCATTATGAGAAGCCGTATCTGGCGGAGTAATCGAAATAGGGGGGTGGGAGTATTTCATACATTTCTCGTAAGATACTTATAGTTATGATTAAGTATTCTCTTACAAGAAATGGTGTGATTTGAAAAAATAGCGAAATAAGTGTGTGTTTAACGAACAGACGCACGCAATCGATACCTTGTGCCGCAATATGGGCAGCTGGCTGGGCCGTGAGTGAGGTCGATAAAGACACGAGGATGAGCATTCCATAATGGCATGCTGGGGTTGGGGCAATGCACTGGAGGCTCGTCTACAAGATATTCTGAGACAGAGGTTTCGTCATGCTTGCTGTTAGGTATGGAGGCTGAATCGCTGGTTTTCATTTTGGATAAGGTGTTAGGTACAACTTTGGCTTGTTTCAGATATATGCAAAAGGAAGCGTCTGCCAAACTTTAAAGCAGCCTTCCCTGGACAAGAGGGAAGGGGTGGAACACTTACATCTTCTTTATGCTTGGTCTGGATGAATAGGAGTTAACCAATGCGCATACTTTGGATTTTTCCCAGAAACGATGGAGAAAAAGGCTTCTTGTAATGCTTGCGTGATGGGGCCACGTTTGCCTGCGCCAATGGCGCGGCGATCTAATTCGCGAATGGGGGTGACTTCTGCTGCGGTGCCTGTGAAGAAGGCTTCATCGGCACAATACATTTCATCGCGGGTGATACGTTTTTCTATAACCTCGATGCCTTGTTCTGCCGCTAGCGTGAGAATAGTGTCACGCGTGATGCCTTCTAGGCAGGAGGAGAGGTCTGGAGTGTAGAGGCGGCCGGCTTTGACGATGAATACATTTTCACCAGAGCCTTCTGATACGTAGCCATCGGTATCGAGCAGCAATGCTTCATCATAGCCATCAGCAAGGGCTTCTTGGTTTGCAAGAATAGAGTTGGCATACCAAGCACTTGCTTTTGCGCGCACCAGCGATACATTGACGTGGTGGCGGGAAAAGGAGGAGGTTTTAACGCGGATGCCGTTATGGAGACCTTCTTCCCCTAAGTAATGCCCCCAAGGCCAGGCGGCAATAGCAACGTGAATAGTATTATCTCTAGCCGAAATCCCTAATTTTTCTGCTCCAACCCAAGCAATGGGGCGAATATAGGCAGATTCCAGTTTATTAGCGCGTATTACCTCGCATTGTGCACGTGCAATCGTGTCGTGATCGAAAGGCATGGGCATTTGCAAAATTTTTGCAGAGTTAAATAAGCGCTTGGTGTGCTCCTGAAGCCGGAAAATAGCTGGAACTGCTTCCCCTGTTGGCGTGTGCGTGGCGTAAGCACGCACTCCTTCAAAGACGCTCATGCCGTAGTGGAGTGAATGCGTGAGCACATGGATTTTTGCGTCACGCCAGTCAATTAGCTCGCCATCCATCCAGATTTTGCCGTCGCGATCCTCTAGGGAAATCATGTACTTTTTCTCCGAAAAATAAAAAATGTGAATGGTTTAAGCATAGAGCTTACCTGGCGTTAACGCTAGCAAATTGATCAAAGAATAGCGCTGAGTGCCAAAACCTGTAGATTATAAGTGAAACGGTACCATGCTTAGGGCGCATCATAGAGGTAGCTGCGCAGGGGTAGGCTGTGGGTATGGCAAATTACTTTTGTTTGGCTAATGCCGTAAAATTCGTGTTTGTCTCAGATTTTTCTTTTTTATCTCTATTTAGCTAATTGACTATCGTGCTGCATCTATCTGATCTGATTTCCAAGGGGGCGCTGGCGGGCCAGCGTGTATTGATTCGCGCTGACTTAAATGTCCCTATTAATGAACAAGGCGAAATTGTTGAGGATACTCGGCTGCGAGCTTCACTTCCTGGCATTCAAGCTGCATTGCAAGCAGGTGCGGCAGTGATGGTGACCTCCCATCTCGGGCGTCCCACCGAAGGGGCACTTAAATCGGAGGATTCATTAGCTCCTGTCGCACGGCGTCTTAGTGCATTGCTTGGCCGCCCCGTGCCACTGCAAACCAACTGGATTGAACAGCCTTTCAATGTTATTCTAGGAGAAATCAC